TGTCTAAGCTCAGGCCCCCTCCTCACAGCCCTGTGAGGCAGGGACCAAGTCGCCCGCACAGGCCTGCCCTGGCCAGCCCCTGCACTTGTCACGAGCCCAGGGGGCGGCTCGTTTCCCCTCAACTGCCTGCTGAGGCAGGGAAGTGGACCCCACGGCAAAGCGCAGGCAGCTGGGAAGTGACCCCTGGTGCCGGTCCAGCCCCAGCGGGCGGGTGACCGCCCCCGGCGTAGGAACACTCAGCAGGAGCACCGTCAGCGCCGTGTCTCTGGGGGGGGTCCGCCTCTGCCGGCCGCGCCAAGCCTGAGCTGGGGAGGGAGCTGAACAGGCATCTGCCCTGCCCCCACTGGCCCATGGGAGGGGTCCCAGGGCACTGGGGGGGGCAAGCTCCTGGAACCAGTTTCTGCACTAAATCTCTGAGCCTGGCGCTGGCAGCGTCCCCTCTGACGGGTTCCCGCGTTCCAGCTCCATTTCCCCGCCCTTCCTTGCAGCCCTGCAGAGCGCCCAGCACGTGGCTGCGTGGGCACAGCCCGGAATGGTGCCTGGGGAGTCCTCTACCTCGGACACCTGCCCCCCACACTAGGGGCGCAACGCGAACACCAGCAAGGGCCAGATACCCCTCGGCACGGGCGCTTGGGGAGAAGGCGTGCACGGAGCGGGCTGGCCCTGCCCGCCTCAGAAAGCAACAGCTGCTTTCGGCCACGGAGGGGGACGGTGCCATTTGCCCCACGACACACCGAGTGCAGAGCCTGGCAGCGAAAGCTGGAGAGGAGCAGGGGCCGGGGCAGCCCCGCGCTATTCAGAGCAGGTGCCCGGGAACGTGGGCGTACGCTGGAGCATCAGCGTTTCCCGGCACGAGCGCCACTCGGCAGGAGAAGAGGGGGAAAGGCAGGCCCCCCCCCGGGAACTACCCGCTTGCAGCGCCAGAACTCCGGGCACGGCGTGTACTCAAGGGTCACGTCTTTGCCACCAATCACAAGGGTTCCCTGCGGAGACAAGGGAGGCGGTGACGGCCACGCCAAACACGCAGGGACGGGCCAGGAAAGCCCCGTGATTCCGAGCCAAGCCGGTTCGTCAGTCGTT